AGTCCCCCGCCTGTTGCTGACGTCGCATTGCCGGTGTCGAGTCTGTCATTCGTCGCTTGTCACGCATTCCGGCATGGAAGCGACAGGGTTTGAACCATTGGCGACAGAAGCAAAACCGGACGCAAAAAGACCTCCGTCACATCCTACCCAGACTGGGTTTCTCCTTCTTATCCTTCAGACAAAGAGAGCTGATGGGGCCGAAGGCCACAGGAACACGTCGCTATTGACCGCACATTCTGAAAATTGTGGCGTTTCTTCCTTTCGTCGTCTTCTAGCTGGTAGGTCCGGGACTCAGGTATCATCTGTGATGGTCAGTCGTAGCGATCGTCAGTCGCTCGGCCAGCCGTATTTACCGTCAATCCACGATTGATAGTGCTGAGTGAAAAGTTTATCGACGAGAGATCATGCCAATTGTTGTTACGTGGTAATAGTCCTTGTGGGGAAAGCATTTCAGTCGGTGATTGCAGGAGAGAAGAGATCGCGATTCTCGAAAGTATGCTCCTGTTTCGATCGCCATGTCGGCACCGCCAACGTATCAAGAGCCTCTGTTTGACATGCCCCAGGGCAAGCCGTTGCTAGTCGGCCAGTGCAGCCAAGTAGAGTAGTCAAAGTTCCCTGCACAGGCACCTACATGTATACACGCAGCCAAAAGAAAATAAGCCAGTATAACGTCGAGATCAGCGGAGGCCGGGGCCTGGTCTGGATTCGGCGATCGTTGATGGTCGGAGCTTCCAGGCACTGCGCGAGGATCGACTAGAAACCGACGTACTGGAAGATGGTCGAACAGCATACTTGGCTGAAGGAGCCTGTGATGGTTTCGGAAGAATGCAGTCTGCGAAATACAACATGCAGCTTATTGAGCCAAGCTCTCACCGAACAAAATCATGCTGACCATGTTGATTAATGAAGAAGCTGGACAGCCTGGTGAAGACATGCCAACCTGGAGAATGCGACCAGAACAGGAAAGGCAAGCACGGGACAACAACGTGTGCGGCAGGCACGCTATCCCTTTTCTGGCCAAGGTAGGATGGGGTCCAGGAGGAAGGGGACCACGACTACGACTCTAGCACGCCAGCACGCCAGGCGTCGCCATTGCGTCCTTAGCGTCTTGGGTGGCTCCTTGTCCCTGCCGCTCAGCCTGCCCTGAACGCTGGGAGGACTGGGGCCCGCTGGCATGGAGCATGCTCGGCCCCCTGGTCTGGTCCCCTCGCTTCACCTGGTCGGTGGTCCATTCCCCTTCTGTCGGTTCACGTCTTTCATCATCGATGCGCTGAACGGTCTGGGAAAGGTACTTGCCTCGTCGGAGCATACCTCGAGAACATGTATCTATTTTACACCCGAGGGGAAGCACTTCCGAGGGGTAAATGATCAGCACCATCAAGTGCAGAGTGTCCCAGAGATCAGGGGTCGCCTTTCATTACATTGCAGCAGCAAGAGCGGTAATGGTAAGTGTCGAGTCATATTACCGAATGAAGGAAGGTACCTAAGGGAAAGAAAAGTAGCCTAGAGTCGTCACAGCATAGTGATGATCAGGGCGCCTTTGCGCTTGGATCTGAGAATGACGGTTCGGAATGCTGTGATGGCCAGAGGTCGAGTCTGTCGGTTGACATCTGACAAGGCATGCTGAGTACCTTACCTAGTCCACCGGCTGATGAGCAACTCGTGCCACCACCTTCAAGACCAGGCAAGGTCAACGGCGAAGGAAAAGAAGCAACGACCCTTTGGGAAAAAACAAAGCATAAGCAGTTCGGCCAGCCACACGAGCTTGATTTCTGGTCAATTCTCTCCGCAAAGACACTACAAGTCATACCTGCGTTACTTAAGGTACGTTGGTTACGTGGGCATTCTGGCAAGCCATGCAAGGTTGGAAATCCTTGCGCAAGGCAGGAGATGGCATCACCTGGTAGGTAGTCAAGTAGCAACAGCCAGTCGAATTCAACAGAGAAACTGGCGCGTTCGAAAAGGCAAGCAACACGAGAAGGTTTTATCTTCATAGGTAGCATTGACACCTGTTTCGGAAGAGGTGCATCATCGCTGAATACCGATCCGCCTACTTTCCCACCTCGATGGACTACTCAGATTTGCTGCGCCCCTTGGAACCCCCCTTCCTGAACCTACCTAAGTAGGTACTCTCGCATCGGGACGCACCAACATCACCACGCTACAGCACCACTAATCAAGACTGTCGCAGCCTTCACCCCCAGGGCTTCACACCATCCTGATAATGATCCCCTGTCAACCTCTCCGGTATGAGGTTCTGGACCACCCAGCAATGGTCTGGGGACGTCATCGCCAGGATACTGCTGAAATCACAGATCATCTCTTCGCCCGTATGACAGGCCACCACTCAACACCACCACGTAGTTCCAGCTGAACATTCCGACCCTCCTCACCAAAACCTGTGCGGCCAGGCACCTGCAGACGTCTTGATCCAGCGTCAGCAGTCTTACTCAATCCAGGCCGTGAGAAGTGAGGGGAGGGAAAGAAAGGAGAGAGAGAAAAAATCCAGTCCCTGTTGTCGGCATAAGCTCAGAGCCTCCGACTCGATCGTTGTTTTCTATTACCTGTTCCCATTCTGCTCCTCAATTCTGTTATGTTCTCGACTTCTCCCTTCTTTCGGTAGAAATAGAAACAAACCAAGTAGCCTTACTCTACTCAGTCGCTGCCCTCTCTTCGGAGCATTCTCTTTAGCTCCGCGAGACCACGCTCGCTCGACTCCCTCATCTGCAGGTACGTAGGCAGTGCTCGGCCTTCGTGCCTTATCCTCTGCGGTGATTGAACTGAGTGTGGTCTGGCCATACCGGAGCCAGCCTAAAACCGGCCTGCAGCCCAAGTCCATGCTTATTACCCCCAATTCCCATGGCCGCTTGTTGACGCAATGGACTGGATGGCTTCAAAGCGTTGTTGTCCTACGGCACTCGCTTAGACCCCATGTTTTCTCCTTTTACTGTGCTGAACCTCTCAAAACACCATGTATATGCCTAGGACAGCCGCGCCGGTCCATGTCCTGTTTTCTCAGGGTGTTGGAAAACCACGCCCCGTGTCAGCTTTGAGATGCACTGACACATGCCCTCCAGGTCTAAACCTGTAATAAAGCACGTTGCATTATACATCTATAGAACCCAAACACCAGGCCCACCGCGGTCCGACAATTTGCGCCAGAGCGCGCGAAACTCAGGGAACTCGGCAAGCCGGACAACAAGCTTCGCTGTCAAGGGAAGTAGGGAGTTTGAGGTCAAGCGCACCCACACAGGAGGTTGAGGCCGAGCAAGCCAGACTTACATGCCCCGAGCACCATTCTTGGGCCTCCTCTCCTAACAAAACACGGACGTCGCCAGACAGCACACGGCACGGAGCACCTAACCTTGGGCCAGATCGATCAGTGTCTGGGCAATCTCGCCGCCCCACTTCCGTTTCCTTCCGGGGCCTGCCCAAGAATTTGTGTACTTGCAGAAAGGTACCTACCTGCCCAGGCTCCTCTCTACGCAAGTACCTTGACTTGCCTACCTACCTCCAGTACCTACCTACAAGGCATCTATTCACGCCAGCTCCACGCTTGCTGTGCAGCTCGCCTCGGGTCTCCGTTTGACCAGGGCCTGGCATGCAGTGGCTGCCAACCGCTGGGACACCCCAAACAAGACACACCACACCCGGATACACACTGTCAGCCAGCGGGACCGACCTACCTAAGGTACCTAGCTAGGTAGGTCAGGTAAGGCAAGTAAGGTAATGTAGGTAGGTAGGTACCTTGCCTCCAGTCGAATCCACCAAAGACCCAGCGCGACGTTTCGCCCAGTCAGCAATCACGAGGACCCAAGGGTCAGAAACCAGGAAACACTCCGTATCGCCTCCCTCCTCCCTCTCTACCGAGGAAAAGAACCCGCTTTGCTCGCATCGCAGACAGCACGCCTGCCGCCTAGACGAGCGGCCTCCCGTGAGTGGCGTTCATCAGTCCAGCTCTTGTACGTCGGTCCATCATCCAAGTCACTCGACAAGTTGTCTGTTGCCACCAAGTCAGTCACCCGACCTCTGCCGCGCCCACCCGCCCACTTTCCTCGTGCTGGGATGCTGGCAAGTAGAGGCCTGTCCACTGGGAGGCAGGAGGTACTTCGTCAGGCATTTGCAGGTCCCTCGTCCTCGTCCCTTGTTCGCGCCTGGTACCACCCGTCCCCGTGCCACCAGGTCAGGTCGTTCTGTGGGGACCCCTGTTCGCGGACTCGGCCTTCGCAGCAAAAGCCTAGACCAACCTCCCAAGTTTACCCCCTCCCCCCCCCCAAAAGAGAGGTGCAGGGGGTGTGGTCTTCTGCAGGCCCGCTTGTTCGAGGCGGTGCCGCCCACGGTACCGTACTTGGCCAGAGAGAGAACAGCGTGCTTGCGCTAGTGCATCTGTATTGGTATTGCAACTGACGACTTGAGACTCCAGATCTCGTGTCTTGTCTTGAGTCGTTCTGACCGATTCCAAACCATCTTGAACGTCTTTCCTCCTCCTCCATAACCGAACCTCTCCCCCCCTCCCCCTCCCTCCTTCCTTCCCTCTCCGCCCGAGGCTGCTCTGCTCTTGTCACAGGGCACGCGACGGTTCTTGACGGGCCAGGGCCATGCTTCTTTCATGGCAATTGCGATCTCTCCAATTGCCCAACGCTCGTTGTAAGTATCTTTGCAAAATCACTACCTACCTGCCTACCTTACCTATACGTCTTGACGCACCATCTGCGCCTTCCCTCCCTCCTCTCATCCTGTTCCTGCCTCTGCCTTGGTTCTCTTCACCATCCCATCCCGCCTTCCTACGTTTTAGTGCAGCCAAGTGCTTTGTGCAGTGACGAGGACGGGCGCTCTTTCGCCGTCTCGTCTGCTCCTTGTTCTGGCTGCCGGTACCTTGTTTTCTCGCTTACTCCTACTCGCTGCTGGTTCCTGCATGGCACGAGTGGTCGTTTTGACGCTGTGGTACATACATTTTTTCTGACACCTCACTCTTCCCCCCCCCCCCGCCACAGACTACCATGGCGTCCCCAGAGCAGGCTCGCACATCTGTCAACCCGGCTTCGGACCCCGCGACAACAACCGACACATCGACGGCCGCGTCTATACTCCGCGACACCCTCATCTGGTATCCGGGAACCCTCTTGATCGCCTTCTTCATCTCCGGCGTCACCTACAGCATATTTACTGCTAAAAGAGAGGACGAAATTGTTGAGCCAGGCGTCCGCGGTCCCGGTGGCAAACCTCTCCCCGCCACGAAGAAGAGGAAAAGAAACAGCGATGGCAACAGCAACCATTGGGGTCCCGACCCCTCCCCTGCCTTCAAAAAGGTTTTCGCATGGCTCTCTCTGGCCATGTTTCTCGTCTTTTTTGCCAATGGCATCGCACACTTCGTCCACGTAGTCGAGGTCTGGCCGGCACAGCGAGACGGCCAAGTTGTCTGGCGCGAGACGGAAGAAATGAGCGTAGGTCCCTCTTGCCTGTTGGCCCCGGCTCACCTCACCAGCTTCTGGTGCACAAGCTGACAAGTCTTATCCATAGGTCTTCCTGATCGGCGCGACCAATTTCTATCTATACCTTTTCGTCACGATCCTCGAATGGCACCACAGCCCATCACTTGTACACTTCATTACCTGGACGCTGGCCTTTGCCGGCGAGCTGACCATCACTACCTGCGCTCTTGCCATATTCGAAAAGCGCCGCGACACCCACGGCACCGCTGCGTTACGACCTCTCGACAACTTCGACAGCAAGTCAGACAAATGGGATCTGATCGACATCGTCCTGGCCATCGTGCGACTCGTTCTTGCCTTTTGCCTCGTAAGCACTTACACCGCGTTATGGATCCGCAAAGCCTGGAACAACAGGGACAAATACGATCGGGATGCGGAACGTTTGGGCGCGGAAGAAGTTACACCACTTCTTAACGGTACGCGGACGACCTACCGCACCCAGAACGGCCGCGAGGTTCATACACGCGAGGCTAACGGCCGGAGCATCCGTGGCCGCAATGGTAGTGCTACGGCCAGCACTAACGGTGCCGTCGGGGCGATCAGCCTCGTCAAGGACGAGTCAGCTGCGTTCTACCGACCCGAGAAGATGCCTCACAAGACGTGGTGGGAGTATCTAAGGGGCTATGGTGTCTTCTTCCCCTACCTCTGGCCACGGGACTCGTGGCGGCTGCAGCTCATCTTCGCTATTTGCACTCTTCTGCTGCTCGCGCAGCGCTGGGTGAACCTCCTGGTGCCGCTTCAGATTGGACATCTCACCGATGCCCTCTCCAAGGGCGAGGACCCATGGAAAGCGCTGATCTTGTTTATCATTTACAAGCTACTACAAGGGCCTTCGATGCTCCTGGGCGCTGTGCGATCCATACTCTGGGTACCCATCTCCCAGTACTCGTATCGAGCTTTGACGACCTCGGCGTTCGAGCACGTTCATTCGCTGAGCCTAGACTTCCACCTTGGTAAGCGCACCGGCGAGGTGCTGTCGGCACTCAACAAAGGTGCCTCGATCAACCAATTTCTCGAGCAAGTCACATTCCAAGTTTTACCCATGCTCATCGACTTGGGGGGTGGCCGTCTTCTTCTTTTATGTCCGATTCGACGCAACGTACGCGGTCATCGTCAGCTGCATCTCCTTCTGGTACCTATATCTCACCATACGCATGGCGCAAACCCGGTGCCGATCAACGCAGGGCCATGACCAACGCCGATCGAGAGGAGGAGGCCGTGAAAAACGACTCGATCACAAGCTACGAGACGGTCAAGTACTTCAACGCTGAGGACTGGGAGTTCAGGCGTTATCGCAACGCCATTCGGGTCTTCCAGGAGGCTGAGGCGCAGGTCACATGGGGCATGAACAAGATGAACGTCATCCAGGCGCTCGTCTTCATGGCTGGCATGACTGTTGTTCTGCTTTTTGGCTCCTATCAAGTCACAAACGAACACCGAACTGTCGGTGACTTTGTCATGCTTCTCACTTACCTCAATCAGCTCCAGGGCCCTCTCAACTTCTTCAGCAGCTTCTACCGTACCATTCAACAGGCAATGATCTCCGGCGAGAGGCTGCTGGAACTGTTCAAGATCAAGCCCACCGTTGTGGACTCCGATACGGCGAAGCCCTTGACCGAGTGTCAAGGGCACATTCGTTGGAACAATGTTGCGTTCGCCTACGACCCACGCCAGCCTGCGCTTAAGGAGCTCGATTTTGAGTGCACGCCAGGGACGACGACCGCGTTTGTTGGCGAATCCGGAGGCGGCAAGTCGACCGTGTTTCGGTTAATGTTCCGCTATTACAACACGACAAGCGGTAGCATTGAGATTGACGGACAGGATGTGAAAGATTTGACAATCGACTCCGTGCGGCGCTACATAGGCGTGGTGCCGCAGGACACGACCCTGTTCAACGAGAGTTTGATGTACAATCTCAAGTATGCTAACCCGAGCGTCACTGAGGAAGATGTGTACGAGGCTTGCCGCGCAGCAAGTATTCATGACCGGATCCAGTCTTTCCCTGACGGCTACAACACAAAGGTTGGCGACCGGGGACTGCGATTGAGTGGAGGCGAGCGACAGCGCGTGGCCATCGCACGCACCATCTTGAAGAATCCCAAGATCATCATGCTGGATGAAGCCACGTCGGCACTTGATGCTCACACAGAGCAAGAAATCCAGGATAAGCTTGGCAATCTCGGCCACGGCCGCACTCTTCTCATTATTGCGTACGTTTTCTAAGTGCTCTGAAACCGTTCCGGCTTGCTAACAGAGATTCAGGCATCGCCTCTCTACCATCACGCATGCAGACCAGATTATTGTTCTCAACAATGGAAAGATTGTTGAAAAGGGCACACATGAGCAGCTTGTCAATGCCAAGGGTCGCTATGCCTCCATGTGGGAGAAGCAAGTACAGGCCGAGCGTGCCGCCGAGAAGGCGCGTGCTGCCAGCCGCAAAGCCCACAAACTCATGCGCAAAGCCAACATTGTCAGCAAGGGCCGTACAGACGGAACGTCGGATGGCTACAACAGCCTCTCGTCTTCAACAATCCTCCCTGGAGCAACCGACCAAAATTCCAAAGCCACTGCACCACGCGGAGACACGTCGAGCTCATCCACAAGTTCCGACGCTGATTCTACACATAACTATCACGATGAAACGGAGAGGTAGTAGACGCCGTTTTTCTGTCCCTGAGACATCTGTCGACTTTCACCGAGCACGATCACATCTTGTTGCTGCGTTGCCGTCAGCATGCGTTCTGTTGCAGGCACAGCCTTCATTTCTTTCTTTCTCGCTATCCCAACGGTTTTCTGGCTTTTTTGTTATTACGAATGTTGAAGAATCACGACCTGCTACGGATTCACGGATCAGGAAGACTGCATGCCTTATTATTGGCAACTTGGCGTTTGGAGTTCCATCAGCAACGCTGCTATTCGACCGCAAGCTTTCACGGCAGGTGGCGGCTCTGATAGTCTTTTTTTGTTTTTCTCGAGAAGTCTTCACTTCATATCTCGTCTAATCATGTGGCGTCATGACGTTCAAGGGGGGGAGGCATGTATGCCGACCGCTACCATGGGCGGGAGATCCCCCCTTGGACCTAGCATCGGATTTATAGGTTTCTGCGGTGTTGACTACTCGTTGCTCATCAGGACCACGACGTTACCCGGTCTTGTCTGCTGCTTTACTTAGTCCCATCCTTGATTAATTTCCGAGAGGCAGAGCGTTTTCTCTCAACACAAGGCGAAGCTATGAGGGCTTCTCTATCAGGAGAGCCCCCGGGCTGTTAGGCGGGTTGGCGACGCCTGCCTTTTTGCTTGTCTGCCTTTCTGTTTTCTGTCTGTTCTTGTCTCTTTGTTTGGCCTCGGTGGACGGTCTGGGGGACGGCAGGCGGTAAGGGGGGAGGAGGCGGGAAAAAGGCTACACAAATGAGCTGGCTTCACGGCTACTACGTACACATTGGTTCTCGCACTTTCTATATTTTTAATTCTTTGCTCATAGAGGGTGCCTTGGCAGAGAGTGCTGGGCCAATGCGAGCGTTGCAAACAAAAAGATGAGATGGCTGTCTTTTCCCCCCATGTTGCTGTGTCCTCCGTTTACTCTAAAATATGTGGTCCAGATTCATGCTGCTGCTATGTGTGACGATGTGTGAGGTGTGCAGTGTAGGAATCTCACGCGAAACTATTTCATGTTGCAGGAACTTGATTGATAGTATTGGCTCATTATTACAAGGTATAGTGAAATGTACTTGGTAATCAAAACATGGTGTACAAGGGCCATCGTCTCTTCCGTCCTCATCGAGCAGCTCGGCTCAGCGGCGGTGCAGGACACCCACGGATGGATGTTGCTGTCGTCGTCGTCGTCGCGGCGCACGCGGCAGAGATCCCATCACCCCTCCCTCCAGCTGATCCTCTGATCGCAGCGCGCCGATCCAACGCTAGCAAACATGCACACACGCACCTCCCCAGCAACTCCATCAAAAACCGATCGCGTGCCACATCTGCTCCGTCTCGTCATGCAGACTTGTGCCGTGCTATTACCCCAGGCGATTACCCCCAGGCGCCGATTGACCAACGCTGACGCAAGACACGCCTTTGCAGCAGAGTGGATGCGTTCATGCGCGTCATGGGATGTGTGTTGCTGGGATGGTAATGGTGGTGCACGCGATCGCCAACTCGTCGTTGGTTAGGGGAGTCTCACATTCCTTCCCCCCCCCGCGCGCCATGATAGACGGCCGTGTGACCATGGCCGAAGGGGGGCTCCACATATTCGGGGCAAGGCGGGTTGTGCGGTGGCGCGGCCGATCTGACGTGTTGCTTGCTGTGTTTCTTGTCTTTCTGGGTTTGATGAGCGATGACGGCCTCTATTCTCGTCCTTGTCTCAGTGTTTGTGAGATCGGATGAAATGAGTCGAAGCTAGGTGGCGTGTGTGCGTGCGTGTGTGTGTGTGTGGTCTCGTGCGTGCGTGCGTGCGTGCATGCATGGGAACGAGCCAGCCGATGGTAGGCGCGGGCACAGGCGCAGGCGACATTGCGAATGTGGGCTTCGTGATTGTGTGCCGCGACGGTCCAGCCTAGAGATGACCTGGTTTGAGAAGCGAAGAATAACCTACTAGCCCGCTTGGCTGCTAGGCTGCTGGGCAAAATGGTTGTCGAGTTCCTTTTCGTAGCGAATGACGTCGTAAACGGTACCTGCATGGTATGTACCGAGATCCTGGGGCCCTCCCTGGCTGGATCTTTCCTCCTATCCTTTCCAGCCTTGGCCTCCTTTTCAAAGCGAGTGTGATGCAATTCTTTCCCCGCCATCTCTTTTTCCGTCTCTCTCCCCTCCATTAGAACCCGAACCGAACGCCTCATTATGGCTGTAGCCCACCTTCGAACCCCTTTCGGAAGGTTACAGCAGTGCGCCTCTCGTCGAGAAAGGGTGGAAACCCGTTGAGGAAAGAAAAAAAAAAGAGTAAATAACATAATCCGATGGGGTCGTCTCCTGAAAATCCCGTACCGGTTGGTTGATGCTCCGACTCCTGTTATATGCAAAGCAAGCGGAGGAGTATGAGGAAGGCCCCCCTCTCCTCCGCTGGCGCTTCATTCACCCACCCTTCTCACATGTCGTGCGCCGGCAGACAGCAAGTCGCACAAGTCGGTCGGTTCGCAATGGGAGGCAATATTTACCTCGAAGCGCCGTTGTTGGCGGTCTTCTCGGTGACTTTGTTCGCGGCCCTGGCCTTCTTGTCCTCTTCGATGAGCTTCTTCTTCTCATCCTCGTCGAGCTCGTCGAGCTCATCGTCCTCGTCCTCGCTGCGGTCGTCGGTGGCCTTGCTGTCGCGCAGGAAGCGGTAGGCAATGCGAACGATGAAGAAGAGCCAGAAGAGGTTGAGGGCCTGGAGGAAGGAAAGCAGGCCGAGGGTGATGACCTGGGAGATGCGGCACTTGTACTGCTCGGTGGCCCAGTTGAGCTCAAAGGGACCAATGGTCTGGAACTCGGTGAGGAGAGACCAGATGATGCGCAGGTTGATGTAGTGGCGCAGGTAGATCCAGACGAACATGAAGACGGCAAAGTAGGGGCCGGTCAGGGGGTGGTCGATGTAGTTGAGGAGCTTGGAGGTGGCGAGGAAGAGATCGCTGATATCGTGGGTGATGTAGACGGCGAGACCAATGTAGGTGAAGTGGAAACGGTAGCTGAGGGCGATGAGGGCGAGGGACACAATGTGGTGGCCGACGAGCTCCTTAAAGTCCTTGCGGGGCTTCTCCATGCCGAGCAGCAGGACAATGGCCTGCTGGGCCCAGTAGGCAGCCTGGAAGAGGTAGTAGAACTTGAAGCCGGCGGCGTGGGTGCGGTGGGGGAAGTTTTCGTACATGCCGGCCGTGTTGTAGTACCAGACGGGGGTGCTGCTCATGACGTACATGCCGGCGGGCCCGAGGAAGAAGAAGTAGATGGCCGTGTACATCTGCTCCATGAAGCGGGCCTGCTTGGCGCGGGAGCGGAGGCCGGCGCGACGGGCGAGGGGTCGGATGAGCTCCTGCATGATGTATTCGCGAGTGAAGGACAGGACGACGGTGTAAAAGGCGACAAGGGCAATGTCGCGGGGGCCCTTGCCGTACTGGACGGGGGTGTCGGGGTCGGTCGGGGCCAGCGGGTGGCCGGAGCCGTGGTCGAGGCGGTAGGAGAGGAAGATGAAGCGGTGGACGGGGTTGGACTCTGTGGGGTTGAGGGCGTAGAGGAAGCCAAAGATGGTCAGGATGACGGCGGGCAGCAGGTAGGTGCGCTTGATCATGGCCTGGCGGGCGCGGGCGAGGAGGCCGCGGGCGCGGCGGCGCTTGGAGATGCGGCGGGCGGCCGTCTGGGCCGAGGGCTCGGCAGGCGAGGAGGAGGTCATGGCGGTGTTGTTGGAGGACGAAGCAGAGCTGATGCTGGGGCTGGGACTCGGGCGGTCGACAGCAGAGAGGCTCTGGCGGGACGAGGCGAGGGCAGGGGCGCCCGTGTCACCGGCGCGAATGTCTTGACCGAGAGCGCTGGACTTGCGGCGGCGGCGAGCGGCGGTCGTGTCGACAACGGGGTCGGCCGAGGTGTTGAGGAGGGGAAATGGTTCGACGGAGCCTTCCATGGTGACGTCGAGGAGCAGAGCAGCCCCCAGGTTCGGAGCAGTAGGGGTTTCGAAGGTTGTGGGGGAGGTTGGAGAGGACGTCGCAGTGAGACCAGCAACAGCCAATGTTTGTGGATGGAGCGGTTTGGCAGTGTTTCCACAGAATGTCGGAGAAGAGATTTAGGGGGGGATGTACAAAGAGCAGCAGAGCCAACGGCAGGCTGGCTCTATGTGCGGCGGTCGCGAGGAAATTGGAAGGCGTCGAGTCAGGCGTGCCGGTCTTGGTGCATGCGCATTGCCGTGTGTGTCTCGTTGTGCGTCTCGTCTCCGTGGGCGTAGGTTCTGAGAGGGTGTGCTTGTAGATGATTTGGTGGATTGGTGGATTGGTAGGTGTGTGTTCAATGGCGTCGTCGAGACGAGTGATGCCAGTCGTGGCTGTCTTGATCGATGGACTGTGGACTGGTCGAGTGAGGACTGGTCGATGAAGGATTTCCTCTTGTCGAGCTGGAGAGGTAGGACGCAGCAAGGACAGAGCAAAGGAACGGCGCTGGTTGCAGGAGATGATGGATGGTCTTTAATCAAAAAGAGACGAGGGGGGGAGGATGAAAAATGAGCTCTCTCTAGTTCCCTACTAAGGTAAGGTAAAGTTCCTTGCCTCTTCTTCTTAGGCGGGTGTCACGAGCCCAAACCCATGGCGCACTTGCCTCCCCATTGGCATCGACGCTCAGTCGCAATTTCGTCCTTGTACTCTGGACCCCACCTGAAAATCCTTGGCGCTGTAGACCCTCCTTTTCTCCTTCTGACTGCTGACCCCCCAGGCCCCCCAAGCCCCTGAGACGACGGAAAAGACTGAAGATGAGGGTGGGCTCTGCGGGTCCCCTTAGTGCCATAACCACCTAGATACCGTACCGTAGGTACCTTGGGTCCCCTACTGAAGATTCACTACAGCCCCCCACATCCCCTGAAAGCCCTGTAGTCGATCCCGAAAATCGAATCTCACAGCACCATCGCCCCGAACCCGAGGGCAATTGCTCAGGAGCAAACAAAAAACCAAAAGTCCCCCCCCCCCGGTCCCCGCCAATGTCTCATACCCAAGTCATCTTTTTTTTTCCCCCTTCTCGCCTTGTCCATCGCCGGCCGGGCGTCCGCGGAATCACAAAGTCCCCGGTGCCCGGACACCCGCGGAAGCGATGCTTGAGAATAAACCAGAAACGCCAGATCACCACGTCACTGAACATACATGGTTTGGACAGACGACCCCGTGCCCAGGCCGCCGCGCGGGAGGACAGCCGGGTCGACGCCCCCTCCCCCCCATCACCGGCATCGTCGGCTGGGCTTGCAGAAACCCTCTCTTGCTTCTGGCTTGCGCTCGCCGACATGCAAGCATACATGTACACGACCGGTCGCCTCACGTAAGCCGTTGAGGGTCTGCCAAGATTGTCCCCAATCATCCACCGCATCGCCGACCGCGCCAAGCGCCGTTCGCTGGCCCGCTGACTTCTCGTGCATTCGCATGTCATGCCTGCATGCATGCCCGGCTCGCTATCTATCGGCCAGCATTCACATGTCACATGCTCGCTTGCTGTAATGTGCTAGACCAAGATTCCAAGATAAAAAAAAAAAAAAAAAAAAGCCATTAACAAGAATGACATGACATGTATATGGTATTCGACCGCCGGGGGCCTGCCATGCAACATGGCTGCCCGGGTCATCCGCAATGCTGGCTGCTTGCTTGCTGCTTGCTTGCTGCTTGCCGCTTGCTGCACGCTACACGACTATAGACTTCTCCCTACCAACCCAACGCCAGATAAAACGCCAAATGATCCCGGGTTGGATCTTTTTCTTCGCTAAATGTCCACCCTTTCCTTGTTCCGTCCAGGCCGTGGCCGTGGTAGATAGCCCACCCATCCCAATCAATTCCAATGAGACCCAAGCGCCGCGCTTGAATAGTAATGATGGTACACCCAGCCCACCCAGACACGCAAAACCGTCGTCACGCCGCGGCGAGCTTCATGGACCAGGTGGCCCTCGCGAGCCCTCCGTCTCCCGCCTGCTGTGCTCCGTTGGTGTCTGAACGTCCGATGCGTCTTCGTACTCGTACGTTGTCGTAGTCGTCGTCGTCGCCGTCCGCTCGTAGCTCGGTTGTGCTCGCACGCCCGGCCACAGCGGCGGCCGGCTCGGGTTCGCGTTCACCGACGCCGTGTCGACCGAGGCGCCCATTCCTCGTGGCGCCTGTCGTGACACGTCGATCGTCGTCCTGTCCAGGGCGTGCGGCAGAGCGCCTGCCCCGATGCCAGGGAACGACGAAAAGCCCGATCCGCCGCTCGTGCTTCGCTCCAGCGGCGACCGGCGGTCGTCTATTCCTTCTTCCTCGAGGAGACGTGCCAGTGCCGCTCCTTGCCGCGGCGGCGCCGGGATGACCGTCACCGGCAGGCTGTCCGTCTCGGGTGTCGGCTGCATCTTCTCGCGCACCTTCTCCGCCTGCGTCGCCGCAAAGTCTTCTAGTCGCGCCCTCAAGTCCCATCGCCCGCCGCTGCCAGCGTACTGATCCCGTGTCCGATGCTCACCGGCCGCTGCCGCCGTGTGCGGTGCCACGGCCGCTGGCGGACGATCACGTCCCTGTCTGTTGAAGAGCGGGTTGGCCGCGGTGGTGAGGGCTCGCCACCTACTCCGGCCCTGCGTCGTCGTGTCGGTTTGCTGAGCCTCCGGGTCAATGTTCTTGGCAACAGCCGCCTGCCTTGGCACGGGTGCTGCGACTGCGACCCCGTCACTGTCTGACTCGGTGGTGCGTGTGCTCCGGCTTGTCGACGATGAAGTAGATGGCCGGACTGGTGCCGATGCCGGTATCGTTGCCGCTGCCGGCGGTGTTCGTCGGAGATGCGTGTCGGGCGTACGATTTGTTGTGTCTGAAGCGGGCTTGTACCTGACAGCGTAGTCCGTACTTGCTGCGCTGGCCGTGTCGGCCCTGCTGACGGGGGTTATGGCCGGAGGCGGGCGAGCTGGCCACAGTGGTGGTTGGATCGTGCCGACGGCTGATACACGAGCTTGCTGCGTCGCGTCGGCGCTACGTGCTGCCGATTGTTGTTGTTGCTGTTGCTGCTGCTGTTGGCGAAAGTTGCCTTGGTATTTGGAAGGAATCGACGTCAGACCTGGCCACGCCATGAGTCTCGCAGCCGTCGACGTTCCTTGGCCTCCGTCGCCGCCGCCGCCGCCGCCGCTATCACCAGCGCCGGCGCCATTTCCAGCTGCACCACTGCTTCCTGCCCCTCCGCCGGCCTGGCTTTTCCGGTTCCTCCTGCGCCGTAGCCAGGGGAAGTCTGAGGCGGAAGCCTCGACCATCTCGTCGCCGTCAAAAACCTCGCGGCCTAGGATGCCGTCTTTCTTCTCTTCTCGCTCCAGGGCTTCTATCCTCTCAACCCATTCCCACACAACCACGCTGGCTGCGGCGGCACCTACCCAACGAACATATTCGCCCCAGCCGATAAATTCTGGCCTAGATATATCCAAGACAAAAAAGACAACAGGAATAAGGATGGAGAGGATGGAAAGAGCTGAGATGAGTGGCATATTCTTCATCAAAGGGTGATAGAATGCGTAGCGCTTCTTCATGAGCGCATAGTAAATAACCCAGGCAGCATAGAGCAGGCCCAGAGAAAGGTGGAATAAGTAGCTGAGAGCGGGAACGGCGTCAACGAAGCTCTGCGCCTCCGCGTTGCCGTTGCTGCCACTCGTGAGATAGTAAAAGC